TAAGTGGATAAAACAACTATGGGGCATTTACACAATGGAATACTACTCATCCATGAAAAAAGGAAATTTTACCATTTGCGACATTATGCATGGAGCTGGAGAACATTATGCTAAGTGAAATAAGCCAAGCAGAGAGAGACAAATACCATATAATTTCACTCAAATGTGCAATCTAATGAACAAACTGAATTAACAAGGAAAATGGGGACAGACTCTTATATTGAAAGCAGGATCATAGCTGTGGTGGGGAGGTTAGGGAGTGGAGAGATTGATCAAAAAGGAAAAAAGACTCATTGACAACAGTGTGGTGATTGCTGAGAGGAGAGGGGTATAAGGGGACTAAATGATAATGGAATAAAATACAATAAAGATTAAATTAAAATAAAATAAAATAAATTAACAATATAAAATTCAAAATGAAAACTAGTTTGGGAAGGAAAACTAGCAATGGAAGACATTCACTTCCAGTCATGACTAAATAGCTACCGGGACTTGCCCTCCCACTGTAAACAAATTTCTTTTGATTGATGTGGTAGGGTGAATAACAGTCCTCCAAAGATGTTTATATCTTAATCCTCAGAACTTGAAAACACTACCCAATACAGCAAAAGCAACTTTGTAATGTGGTTATGTTGTGGATCTTGGGAAGGGAAGAGGGAAGCAAGAAGATCAAATGGGCAGAAGGCAATGTGATCATAGAAGCAGAGACTGGACTGATGTGGCCAGGAGCAAAGAAATGATATAGCCTGTAGAAGCTGGAAGAGGTAAGAAACAGATTTTCCCCTGTAGCCTACAAAAGGAACCTGTGCTGCTGACACCTTAATTTTAACCCCTTATTATTCATTTGGACTTTGAACCTCAAGACTGTAAGACGAATAAAGCTGTATTGTTTTTAGTCACTAATTCTGTGGCAAATTATTACCACAATAGAAAACTTAGGCAATTGATGTTCGCAGAGTGTATTTTTCCTCATCCTTTTAATTTTAACCTATTTATGTTTTTATATTTCAAGTGTGTTTCTTAAAGTCAGTATATAGTTGGGTCTTTCTTTTTCAGCTGTAGTGGGGAGGTTAGGGGGTGGAAAACCTCTGCCTTTTAATTGGGAGTATCTTGACCATTTACATTTCTTGTGATTGTTGATGCAGTTACTGTATTTTGCCATGTATAACACGTACTTTTTTGACCAAATTTCTGATGGAAAAATAAGGATGTGCATTATACATGGATATAATGATTACATACTATGAGTATAATAATGGGTATAATAATCCCATATATGATGTGCAAAAAAGCATGAGTGTTCATTATACATGGCAAAATGTGGTAGGTTTGACTGTATTATCTTACTATTTGTTTTCTGTCTTTCTCATCTGTTCTTTGTTCCCTTTTGCCTCTTCTTCTACCTTCTTTTGGGCCAACACTGAATATTTTTTGTTATTCCATTTTATCTCCCTTGATGGTTTATTAGCTGTAACTGGTTTCTTTGTTTTAATGGTTCCTTTAGGTTTTATAGTATACACTTTTAAATTATAATAGTCTATCTTCAAATGGTATCTTCACATATATTTTACAATATTATACTTCCGTTTCTTTTTTCTTTGTTATTGTCACAAATTTTATGTTTATATGTTAAAACCTCATAATCCACTCTTATATTTGTTTAAACAACTTTCCTTTAAAATTGATTAATAAAGAAGAAATTGTATATTTTTATCCATTTATTTACCATTTCCAGTGATCCTAATTCCTTTGTATAGATTCATATTTCTATCAAGTATCATATCTTTCTTCTGCCTGAAGAATGTCCTTTAGCATTTCCTATAGAATTGATCTGCTGGTGATGAGTTCTTCCAGCTTTTTTGTCTGAAACTTTATTTTACCTTCATTTTTTAAAAGATATTTTCCTGGGTATAGAATTCTAGGTTCTAGTTACAGAATACTAGGAATAAAATTTCTTTTAGAACTTTATAGTTGCTGCTCAACTATCTCACTGCTTGCATTGTTTCCAACAAGAACTTTGATATCATTCTTATCTCTATTCTTCTATACATAACATGACCTTTTTCCTTATCAGCCCATATATGAGGTCTATCCAGAAGGTACCCAGCCATGTAATATGAAAAATAGAGACACTTATTAAAGAAGATACAAGATACTAGAAACATAAAACTCTGCAGGAGACACGATGCATGAGCAGGTGCATTGTTGTGATGAAGCTGCCAATCACCAGTTGCCCTTAACTGTGGCCTTCTGAATCATCCCAATAGTTTCTGCAGAGGAATGTTTAAGCTTAATGCAAAATTTGATGCATATTTGTTGCTCTACTTGCTGAGGCATTTTGAATGTGATGGGTACATGGTACACATGCTCACTCAATGGCATCTGCCGCCCTCACTGACTAGTACAGTGAAGTCATCATTGTTCACACATGCTCATTCCAGTCCACTCTCCTTGGCTGCCAGGTTACATTGATGTTGCGCAAACCATTCTCATTATATTAACAATGGCTGGACTTTTCCTAGAAAGTCCTTGTATATCACATATATATTCTTCTGATTTCTTAAACACTTAAATATTATTTCATTGGCTATAATATAATTTATCAACTATTCACCTAATTTATATTGTTTCTTGTTATTACAATTAACAAGGCTGTGATAAACATCATTATAAAATATTTTTATGTATCTAAGCAAGTGTAGTTATAAAATAAATCACTTTAAGTAGAATTGCTGATACAAAAGAATTGTAACTTAAAATTGTGACGAATGTAAATAAACTGTCCTGTAAGGGGACTGAACAAACTTAAACTCTTCTCAACCACATATTAGAATGTTTACTTGTTCTACATTCTTACCACTGGGAATTCTCAAATGTTTAAATGTTTAGAATTCTCACCCTGTCTGGGTGTAGCTCAGTGGATTGAGCGCCAGCCTGCAAACTAAGGGGTTGCTGGTTCGATTCCCAATCAGGGCACATGCCTGGGTTGCAGGCCAGGTCCCCAATGGGGGGTGTGTGAGAGGCAACCACACATTGATGTTTCTTTCTCTCTCTTTCTCCCTTCCTTCCTCTCCCTAAATATAAATAAATAAAAATCTTTTAAAAATGTATGGTCTGTGTAAATTTTATCTTCTTTTCTCTCCTGGCTTCTGTGTTTGAATCATTTTTTTAAAAGGTGTTTTTCTACTCCAAGATTACAAAAATCCAAGATTCACTTATATTTTGTTCTAGAACTCTTTCTTTTCTTTTAAATCTTTGAGCAAACTAGAACTAAAGTTAGTACCATAAGAAATGTTATGCCCTGGCCAGTGTGATTCAGTTGGTGGAGCATTGTCCCATAAACCAAAAGGTGGTCGTTCTATTCCCAGTCAGAGCACATGCCTAGGTTGTGGGTTTGGTCCCTGGACAGGGCATGTATAAGAGGCAACTGATCTATGTTTCTCTCTCACATCAATGTTTCTCTCCCCCTCTCTCTCTCCTTCCCTTCCCTTCTCTCTAAAATCAATATGTCCTCGAGTGAGGATAAAAAGAAATAAAATGAAAGAAATATTGTAAGGATCCAATATTGTGTTTTTCACTACTTATTGTTTAGTCATTTTTTGCCACCAATTTGACACTCCATCATAATCAATACCTGCCCCCATACTCCCACTTTATCTGGCTTCTACACCTAAACTCTTTACTCTGTTTCATCGATTTGTCTGTCCCTGTGCCAGTACCAAATTAGTTTAATTTCTGACTTCCTAATTGTTTCATTTTATGTAGGGTAGGTTCCTGCCCCACTCTCCTCTGGATTTTATTTTTCAGAATTTTCTTGATTAGTTTTTCATATTTACTTTTCCAGCTGAAATTTAGTATCATACAACATTCTCATAGCTAACTTCCAGCCCTATAAAGCAAAATAAACTAAAATAATTAACAAATAAAAATATTTCTGATTGAGCTCTCATGCATTTATAGAAAAATTTAGGGTGAAGTAAGTTTCTTACAACATTGAATCTTTATTGTCAAGAATAAGGTTGTTCTTTCCATTTATTCAATTTTTTATATCCCTCAGAATAATTTTTAAAACCTCTTCTTATAGGTATGGCACATTTTTTAATTAGGTATGTAAGTAGATACTTTTCTCTTTACATACCTGTTATAAATGGGATGTTCTATTTTCTAACTGGGTAATATTTTATACATGAAAGATATTTACTTTGTCTTCTTTTGGTTTACTGAATTTTTAAAGACTTTTTATTTGGAAATAAGTTCAGACTTACAAAAAATTTTAAATACAGAACAAAGGATTCACCTATTGTTAATACTTTGCCACCACTTTTAAATCATTCTATTGCCCTCTCTATATATACATACGCATGCACACAGATGCACACATAAAAAAGAATAATTTATATACATCAGGCCTCATTACTCAGTAATACTTAAGTGTACATTTTCCAAAAACAAGGACATTATTTTACATAACCAAATTATTATTAAATTCAGGGAAATTTAACACTGATAAATATTATTATTTAATCTACAGTATTTCAATTTTACCAACTGCCTCACTATCTACAGTTTTTTAACCAGTTCTTATTTTTCTTTCTGATAGTTTTTTAGTTCATTCCTTGAGATTTTATAAGAATGTATAAATAACATCTAAGACTAAGAATAATAAATTTTGTCTTCTTTTCTCCGTTTTATCCCTCATGGTATGATTTCTTAAAGACTTATGCTAGATTGATCATTCTACAAATAGGTCAGACATGTAAATTTTAAAAGGGTTCTATAACTATTCACTCCAAAGTACAAGTATAGAAAAAAACATTCAGGATCAAGTCCTAGTTATGCTACTGATGATCTGTGCAATGCTGGGGAAAATCCTTAACCTCCTTGAACTTCCTCATCAGTAAAATGAGAACACTTGAGATAGATAATCTCTAAATCCTTTTTAGTACCAGAATCCTATGTTTCTGTAAGTTACTTACTTAAACAAATAAAATAAGCCTCACCATTTTTTCTTGCAAGTTTTCTGTTTTTCCTGATTTGTTCTCCAGTCTTGGGTCTGGATGAATGCATATTCTTCATTTTACCTTCAATCAAAGCAGGACCCTGCATTCTTGAAAAATAAATGTAATTTAAAATTACTCTCATGTTCTCTACAACCATTCATAGAGAGCCATACCAAATTTTGACTAAATTTTTAAAACTCAAAGGTATTTTACTGAGCTGTTGTCAAGCAGCACAGCAGTCTAAAATACAGAGATGTCTCCTGAGTAAACAGTAGATAAATCTGTTATAGGCATGCTAGTCATTATGGTTTCTGGTGTTTTCTTTGTGCCACCTGCATGCTTTTATCCTTTAAAGCAGTCACTTACAAGTGTATTCGGAGTCTCTTGCCCCTTACCCTCCAAGTTGACATGAGACTATCCACTCTATTCACCTTCTAGGGAAAATGAGGAAGACAGTTTGCAGGAAGAAAAGGGTTTGCCATGTGATATGGTACTGATCAAAAACTCCAAAATACTGGCATAAAAACAGAGACATAGATCATAGGAACAGAGTAGAGAGCCCCAAAATAAACATGCATATATGGTCAGTTAATTTATGATAGAGGGAAGGGGGGGCAGGGAAAGGGAAGGGAAGGGGAAAGTCAAGGAACATATAGCAAGGACTCATGGACAAAACCAAAGGGGAAGAGCTGAGGGAGGGAAGGTGGGATGGGGCAAGGGAAAGAGGTGGGGGGAAGGCAGAGACAAATGTATTTAAAAAGTAAATAAATTAATTTAAAAAAAAAAGGATCCAAATATATACAATGGAGAAAGGAGAGTCTCTTCAATAAATGGTATTGAGAAAACTGGACAGCCACATGCAAAAGAGTAAAGCTGGATCGTGATCCTACACCATACAAAAAAATTAACTCAAATAACTTCAAAAAAAGATTTGAAGGTAAGGCCTAAAACCATAAAACTCAGGAAAAAACGTAGAGGGTATGCACTTTCATATCAGTCTTGGCAATTATTTTTTGGATTTGACATCAAAAGCAAAGGCAACAAAAGCAAAAACAAACAACTGTAACTACATCAAACTAAAAACCTTCTGTAGACCAAAGGTAACCTACTGAATGGAAGAAAATATTTGCAAATTATGTATCTGATAAGTGATTAAAATATAAAATATATAAAGAACTCATACAACTCAATAGCAAACAAAATGTGATTAAAAACGGGAGAGGAACTAAAAAGACATTTTTCCAAAAAAGATGCCCAAATGGCCAATGGATCTACATTAGGTATATGAAAAAGAGCTCAATACCACTGACCATCAAGGAAATGCAAATCAAAACCACAATGAGATAACACCTCACACCTGTTAGAATAGCTATTATCAAAAAGACAAGAAATAACAAATGTTGGTGAGGATGTAGAAAAGGAAACCCTTGTATACTTTTTTGGGAATATAAACTGGTGCAGCCAGTCGGGAAAACAGCATAGAGGTTCCTCAAGACAATTAAAAATGGAACTATCATAAGATCCAGCAATTCCACTTGTAGATATTTATCCAAAGGAAACAAATCACTATCCAAAAAAGGTAGTTGCACCTCCATGTTCTTTGCAGCATTATTTATAATAGCCAAGACATAGAAACAACGTATGTTGATGGATGAATGGACAAAGAAAATGTGGTATTCATAGACAATGGAATATTATTCAGCCATAGAAAGGAAGTAAATTCTGCCATTCTTGATAACACAAATGGACCTTGGGGGCATTATGCTAAACAAAATAAGTCAGACAAAGACAAATGTTGTGTAATCTTCTTATATGTGAACTTCAAAAAAATAACAAAAACAAACAAACAAACAAAAAACAAACTCACAGATACAGAGAACAGACTGGTGGTTGCCAGAGGTGGGTGGGTGAAATGGGTAAAGGTGGTCACAAGGTACAAACACCCAGTTACAAGATAAATAAGTCCTTGTATATTATGACAAATAGCAGTACAGTTTCATTCTTTTGCATGTGGCTTTTCAACTTTCCCAGCACCATTTGTTGAAGAGGATTTATTTTCTCCGGATTTGACTTCTTTGTCAAAAATTATTTGTTTATCTAGTGAGTTCATTTCTGCGCTCTCAATTCTGTTCCATTGCTCTATGTGTTTATTTTTTCTGCCAATACCATGCTGTTTTCATTAGTGTCTCTTTATAGTAGAATTTGTGCTTAGAGAGTGTGATGCCTTTGGCTTTGTAATTCTTTCTCATAATTGCTTTGGCTATTTGGGGTCTTTTGTAGTTCCATAAAAGTGTGATGATTTTTTGTTCTTACTTCTTTTTTAAAAAAGGCCATTGGGATTTTGATGGGGATTGTATTTAATCTTTATATTGCTTTGGGTAATAGGGTCATTTTAATTATGTTGATTTTTCCGATCCATGAACATAGAATATCTTTTCATTTCTTTGTGTCTTCTTTAATTTCTTTTAATAATGTCTTACAATTTCAGTGTATAGGTCCTCCATATCCTTTGTTAAATTTATTCCTAGGTATTTTATTATTTTGTTGCAATTACAAAAGAAACTGTTTTTTAAATTTCTTTTTCTGAAATTTCATAGTTTATAGGAATGCAACGCATTTTTGTATATCAATTTTCTATCCTGCAACTTTACAAAAACAAACTTTATTTGCTTATTGTTTCTTTGTCATCCTATACAAAAATTAACTCAAAACAGATCAAAGACATAAATATAAGACCTGAAACAATAAATTACATAAAATAAAATATACATGCTAAACTTATAAACTTTGGTCTTAGCATTTTATGAATTTACCTCAAAGACAGAGACGGAAAGCAAAAATAAGCAAATGGGACTATATAACACTAAAACGATTCTGCACAGCAAAACAAACTGTTAACAAAACATGAAGGCAACCAACTGAATGGGAAAAATATCTGCAAACAACACCTTCAATAGAGTTTAATATTCAAAATATATAAAGAACTCATACAACTCAACAACAAAAAACAAATAATCCAATTAAGAAATGGGCAGAGGACCTGAACATACATCTCTCCCAAGACAAGCAAATGATCAACAGATGTATGAAAATATCCTCAACTTTACTAGCTATTAGGGAAATGTATATCCAAAGCACAATGAGATACCACCTCACACCTGTTACAATTACTATTATCAACAAAACAAATAACAACACGTGTTGAAGAGGTTGTGGAGAAAAAAGAACCATCATTCACTGCTGGTGGGGATGTAAACTAGTACAGCCACGATGAAAAACAGTATGGTGGTTTCTCAAAAAAGTAAGAGTACAGTTATCATATGACCCAGCAATCCCTCTTCTGGGTATTTACCCCCCCCAAAAACTTGAAAACATTTATTCACAAACATATGTGTACCCCTATGCTCACTACAGCATTATCCATGGTGGCCAAAACATGGAAAAAACTGAGAAGTCCTTAGATAGATGACTGGACAAAGAAGATGCGACAAAGCCCTGGCCAGTGGCTCAGTTGGTTGGAGTGTTGTCCCCTACACCAAAAGGTTGTGGGTTTGAGTCCCAGTCAGGCCATATACCTATGTTGTGGATTCAGTCCTTGGTCTGGGCATGTAAGGGAGGCAACCGATAGATGTTTCTCTCTCACATTGATTTCTGTCTCTCTCTCTCCCCACTCTTCCTCTCTCTAAACATATCCTTGGGTGAAGATTAAAAAGACAGTTGTGGCACATACTCATATATACAATGGAATACTACTCAGAAATAAGAAAAGATGAAATATTGCCATTTACAACAACATAGATGGATCTTGAGAATATCATGCAAAGTGAAATAAGTCAGACAGAAAAAATTAAAAACAATATGATTTCACTCATATGTGGGATATAAAACTGAAAACAAATGAACAAGAAAAAAAACCAAACAAAAACTCATAGGCAGAGACAACAGCATGGTGGTTACCAGAGGGAAGCGGGGATAGGGGATCACAAAAGATAAAGGCAATCAATTATATGGTGACAGAAGGAGATTTGACTTTGGATGGTAAATACACAATGCAATACACAGATGATGTATTTCAGAATTGTACACTTGAAATCTATATAATTTTATTAACTAATGTCATGCCCAATAAATTTAATAAAAATTATTTTTACAAAGATAAGTAAGTCCCAGAGATATAAGGTACAGCATGGTGGCTATAGTTAACAATACTGTACTGTATATTTGAATGTTGCTAAGACAGTAAATCTTAAAAGGTCTTATCACAGGTAAAAAAACAAAACAAAACTGTAATTATGTGTGGTGATGGATGTTATCTAAAACTTATTTTTAAAAAGAGAAAATTAGCATTAGGTTGCAATACAACAAATCTCCATTATTTTATCTTCAAGATAAAAAAGTAAGAGTTTTCTAGTTTAAAAAAGCAACTGCAAAATAAAAATTTAACAACACTAAAAAATAAAGTTCTTTACTTAGGGGTAACTATACACTGACTCTGAAGTCCCAAACATAGATTTATAAGTTCTGCAGCATATCTAGGTAGAAAAATAAACACAGCATACCTGAAAGTCTCAGTTGAAGAGTTATTATTTGTTTGATTCTCACAGCCAAGTATTTTTGGTAAAATCTTTTCCGGCATCTTATGCATGTCCTCTGTGTCCTTTGTATATCTGCCTACTTTTATTCTGGATGATCTCCTTAACACACATGGAGCATCCTGGTCAGAGCTATTGTCCACTGGATTTGAATTTCTCTTACTATTCAGTGTATCACAAGAGGTTGCATTTTGATAAACTGAAGCTTGCAATCCAAATGGATTTGGATCTTCTAGAGTCTGTAATAAAATATAAATACATCCACAAATAAATGCAAAAAATATTAAAAATAGGAGAAATTAAGTTTTATCTTGTTCTTTGATTACATAAAAATGCCTCTTATAAGATGAAAGTACAAAAACCCACATGTGTGAACATAATGAAAAATTATATATCAATATAATAAAAGACAATGCATATTTAAAAGCCTAAGGCAAGCAGAACCTAAGTAAAAATTATTTTTATCAATATTTATTCTTAAAATTCAATGCTTTAATTTCACAGGAAATGTGTAGCACAGAATGATAAGAGACACGTACAAAGGGTAGAGATGTAACATTAGGCCAGATCTATGTTCTATTCAGCCTAGTATTTTCTAATTTGACAGCAGCAGGAACAAGAAAGTATATTACCTCCACTATGTTGATTTTAAAATGTTAACAGTATGTTATAAATAGCTCTGACTTTGCCTTAATAATTCATTATAGATTTAACTTTTATAATGACATATTTTTTTAATAAATACCATGTAAACCTTTCCTGAATTATTTATATATCCAGTTGCTAAGCTTCTCAAAGTAACAAGGTCCATACTTTTATTACAGCTGTGAAAAAGAATATTTGATTTGTTCTAAATCAATCTTTCTTATTTCATTTATTTTTTAGTGATATCTGTTTTAATCATTGTTTCTTTTAACATTAACTTAACAATTTTCATTGATCATAGTTTATATGGTGTTGGTTATAATTATTAAATGTTCAAGAAACAACCAAAAATCAACAATGATTATTTAATGTCAATGGGACAAAACTCATTGCACAAAGAGGCTCTATCTATTCAAAAGACAATTAGCAAACTCAAGCAATACTTCAAAGAATTTCATTCTACTTTTTAAAATTTATTTTTTATTGTATTTTTTTCCATTACCATTTATCCCCCTTATACCCTCTTCCACCTCCAACCACCCCCTCCCCACAATCACCACACTGTTGTCTACATCCATGGGCCCTTTTACTTTTTTGCTCAGTCCCTCCACCCTTTAACCACCCACCCCACAAACTGTCAGCTCTTTTTTTTTTTTAATTTCTTTTCTGGACGACTTGCTAAATTCATGCCTATTCTATCATAACTTCCTACACTTTACTCATATTGCCTCATTTCAGATTACAATACTCAAATGATTAATTAAATCTTCATGCCCTATTCTTGTGATTAGTTTCTATTTTTCTGAATATTTTTAGTCATACTATGTCTGTTTTGAGATTTTTTTTACCAGAATTACATATAATATTATGATTCTAGGTGTGTATGTTGCAATATGACCTTAGTATAATGTTATTTATATATTCCTAGGCATGTTCATAGGAGCATTTGGTAATAGACAGAAGAAAAAAAGAAAACAAATAAAAATAATCCAAACAACCATAATTAATGAATTGGTCAAATAAACTGTATACATATACACACACATAAAAATTTCATATAGTGAAATACCATGCAGCAAATAGAAATATTTAAGTACTGCTACATTTGCTGACACAGAAAGATAATCAAGATTATTAGTAAGTTTAAAAAACAAGTAATATTTTATATGTATTATAATCCAATTTACATAAAATAAAATTACATAGAATATGCACAGATAAAAATGGAGACGGATACATGAAACTGTTAACAGTGATTATCTCTGGAAAATGGAACTGTGGGAGACTATATTATTGAGTGTTGCTGTAATGTTTAAATTTTTTATAATTAGGATATATTACTTTTCTAAAAATTGTTACCTGAGGATATATTTTCATTGCTTTAGACAAAGAGGAAGGGAGAGAGAGGGACATCAATGAGAAACAGAAGCATCATTGGTTACCTCCCACTTGGTCTGGAGATTTTACGCACCTGGACCTCCCACCAGGGAATCAAACCTGCAACCTAGGCATGTGCCTTGACTGGGAATCGAACTGCAACCTTTTGGCTACAGGGTGACACTCCAACCAACTTAGTCACACTGGCCAGGGCAAGGATGTATTACTATTTTAATAAGAAAAACAATAAAGATTATTCTTTTTTAATTGTCAACATGAAAATGGGACTCAGCAAGTGGGCCACTGCAGAGTCCCCAGGCATGACACTGTAAGAATTGTGCCCCTGGCAATATCCTCAGACAGAGAATGCAAAGTTCTGCTAAAGCCAGGCATAATTTTTCCCTCTCCTAGCAGACCAACTGCATATATCATATGTCCAACTAGAAATTAATGTGGGCTATCTCATTTCTACTCTTACCTGGGTAGACATAGTGATTTTTGAACTAATAGGGAAAATTCTGGTAAAGAACTCTTTCTTTCTCCTATATAAGCAAGCTAATGATATATCTTCACAGGTCTTCTGGGGAGAAACTTACCTCAACTTTTACCCCTTGAAAACTCTACCCCAGGAACCTCTAAAAAAATCATTGTACACTTTCAAGTCAAAAAGTATTTTCTGAGTGTTGATATTTGTTTAGAAGGTTTGAATTTAAAATAAAGGATATGGGCAATGAAAACTTGTTAAAGCTCACTATAAAAGGCAAAACCATAGATTCATACTTGTACTTACTTGCTGCACTGAAAGATGCTTGTCCTGGAGCTCAGCTAACTTGGAATCTTGTTTAAATAATGGAGTAGAAGAAAGAGACTCAGAATTCACTCCTGCTATTTGTGTACAATCTTCATCAGTCTGAGGCATGTTGAGCTCTATTCCTAAACATTCATTTCCAGCACTGAGACTGCTGCCTCCCTCTTTTCTGTGACAGATGGGTCCCTCCTTGTCTTCAGACAATGTATTTAAGGCTGTTAACAATTCAGTTGGCAGTGCATCATCCTCTGTTTTTTCTAGTGAATCTCTGTGACATGTCAAAGGTATTGATGTGGAATTCGGAGAGTTACTCAACAGGTTTATCAACTCCCTAGGCTCAAAATCACTCATCGTTTCAAACAATCTTTCCTCCTGGGTGTTTTGTGGTGGTGTTAGTAACTTTTCTAAGGCAGACACAAAAGTTTCAAGAGAGCTTTCTTCATCTTTGGTTTCTTCAGAAGTCATAGTCAATGTGACTTCCATTCCAGACTCAGAAAATGTATTTGGTGCTGCTAAGGTCTGTGGCTCTATTAAAGATTTCTCCTTTTCAGGAACCGTATCAGGTACTTTCATACCAGTACCTGAGAAAAGGCTAATTTCAGGAGCATCTCTATTTGCATTTAGTTCCTGTGTATTCCAAAAAGAAATTCCATCAGTATAATACATACAAAGAAATGTTTAAAATGAAAATTTTATAGTTTCCCAGTTTATCATACCAGTAAGTTATCACCAAAAAGTTTTATCAATTTTCCTCCCTTTCTATAAATAAAAATTCCCTTTATTACTTTACTATACCAAATAACTAATGACTCTAAACACATGGCTAAACATCAAATAGTGGGCCAAGGGTAAAATTGACTGGGCCATAATTACAGATGGCAAATTATCTGTTCAGCTAAGTTAAATTAATGTGCTACAGAAGAAGCAGAGATGGCACGGAGAGTTAACCAATGATCTCAAAACCTCTCTGCAGTTGGTTGTCAAAAATCTTGTCAAAAATCTATTGAATTTTATAAAAATTAACCAAGAATAAAATTGGTATAGTTTCACCTTTTTATTTCCCATCTCTGTATGATTATGTAAATGTGAAGTAAAAAGGATAAAAGAGAAGGTGGTCAGAAGGAAAAAGAGGAAAAATTAGGACACGGGTCTATGTAAATATTATAAGCCCTGGCTATAAATAAATGATTCTGGGTTGTGGTTGTTTTAAACAAAAAAACACAAAACTTGTATTTCTAAATGACTATTATTTTTCAAAGACATCATCTTAATGGGTTATACCTATTCTCACAATATTTCTAATGCTCAAAATATTATTAGACTTCCTCTTTTGAAAGTGTTTTCAAATCTTTTTATAAGCATTTCAAGAAAACCAGTCTCAATATTTTAAAGACACTGAACTTCTTTTCAGTATTAAAAACTGCTTATTTGCTTGACCTTAAACAACAGAACAGGTTTCAATGACTTTTGTCTGTCACTAAAAATCAAATCTACCTTCCACTGACACACCACTCTGACACAATGCACTATAAATTTTAAGCACTCTAATATTCTGATTTGATTTGAATAAGAAGAGTGAAAACTATTTTATTCTCCCCCTGTTCCTTTTCTATCTGCCACCAACCATCTTCTCCACACCTTTTGGCTACATAACACACAAAGCCTAAGAAGATACACTTATTTAGCAGTACTGCAAACTATTATTTGCTCTGAAAGATAAAAGGAATTTAGAAGGAATTAAAAAAAATACATCCTATCTGTTCTTTAAGTCATAGCTCAATGTCTCCCTTCTATTTATAGTCCTTATATATATTAATTCAAGGCCATATATGAAATAAATTATATGCATTGGTCACTGCCCTAAAGGAATTTAATTTCTAACTGAAGATTGAGAGCATAAATATATAACATTAAGTAAAATATAAATAATGTCAAAAACACTATATGAACTCAAATGAATGGCATAAACCATAAAGCCTAGTGTGTTACAAGACAGTTTTGGGGGGAGAGGAGTCTGTTGCAAGTTTTCATGATTGCTTTAAAAATGCAATTAAATGAAGTTAAACAGGTTTCTTTATCACAAGAATTTTCATAGTATGTACATTGTAAATCTGAGAACACATTAGGATATAATGTTCTCCAAACTTCTTTGTTCAAAAAAATCCTTTTTCTCAAAAGATCTATTAATATTATAGGATGCAAGTGATTGGGAAATACTGAAATAGTCAATGAATAATAAATGTTAAAGGGGAATCAACTGCTTTTGTCAAGATCACCAGAGTCATCTGAGACAGGGCCACAGAAGAGGGATTTGAGCTAGAAATCAAAGACTTGTGAATAAATGATATAAGGGAGAAACACATATTTATTAAGCACTAACTTGGGCCAGATATGCTGAACTATCATTGCCTTCACTCCTCACAATAATTCTATGAAATGGATAGCACTAGTGGTATTTTACACAGGTAAATGGCACATTTACCCTTGGAACACACACCTATCTGGTCCCAAATTTTATGTTCTTTCCCTTGTTTTCTGGTTCCTGACCTGAACAAAGTTATGGAACCAGGAATGTGTAAGGTACAGCTGAGGTAAAGTAAGGTATAGCAGTGTTGACCTTGGGTAACCCTTGATTGCATGAGTCCATTGTGGGCAGAGCCAGTCTTACAATCCTCTGATTCTCCATAGTGCCAAGGAGAAAGCAAAGCCTAAACAAGAACTCAATACATGGTTACTGATTAGCAAGTATGGCAAGTACAGTAACCATGCCATACTGGAAGATGGCAAGGCAGTTTGTACAAGGAAATATTAAAAGAACAGAAAGCATTTCTGCTACATCATCTCAGCAACTAGTCTGATAATAAGTTATATGTTTCCCCTCTAGATAAAGAATAAGAAACTTACAATACTAAATAAGGAACATAGTCAATTACTTCTGGGCCTTTTGGCTAAGATCAAGTATAGGAACATAGTCAAAAAAATACTATTTCATTAGAGATAAGGAAAAATAAATACTGGAAGGGGTTGTTGGACAAGAATAGATTTCTACCTGTTGAAATGATTTAGTCATATTCCTGCCTATAAAAAGAGCCTAAATGGGCTTGAGACTTTAATAAACATAATTTTTTTAAAAAAAAGATATAAACCTATGTTCTGCATAGCTAATCTCAGTTATGTACACCAACCTTTTCTGGGCGTGGTAAAACTTCAGGATTTTCAGCCTTAGACCCTAGAAGATAATAACATTTGTTTACATTCCAGTTTTATTAAAATACTAAAAATATACATACCACCTCATTTGGCATTTCTTAATCACATAACCTAAAATGATTTCCTCAGACATTCATGTAACATTTCAAATATGTTATAAATATTATACCAATTTGATATAAAAGTACCATTATGCTGGCAGTAAAGTTAATAAAAGAAAATTTTGCCATATCCCTAAAATATTTTATATGAAGCCAAGTAAAATTCTAATTATTTGGAATGAGTTTAGCTAAAAGCCAACCTTATTATTTTGGCTGAGTTATTTAAACTATTTATGACTACATGAGGGAAAATCATGTCTACTTCCTCAGTGTTATTATCTCTTCCATTATAGGTAATAGAATTTAAATGAATTTATGCTGTTAAGCATGAGAAGGAGTGCTTCATGCAGGAGCCAAAAGGAGTCAGGAGATTGTCTTAAATATGACTTCACCTTCACCATCTATTCCTCATCTGGCCTACTGTCTCTGAAGTGAGCCGGCTGACAGCAAGTCCCACCAAGCTAATGGGGATCAAGAAAAAAGGTATTTCTCCTACTCTATTCCTCTTGCCTTCTACCTTCACCAGCAAAGCCCCAGCACTCTGACATACTTAGGTAGGAATTCAGGGCTCACTGGCATATGTTTGAGTCATTATTTTGGTTTCTTTTGATTGCACAATGTTTAGAGCTGAAGTATAAGCAAGTAGTTATCTGCTGAACCTCAAATGCATCCTCATAAGACAGGTTTTCAGCAGAAAAAAATAAGCATACTGAGTTTATATGCTTACTGAGCTTTATATCCTGCAAAAACCCATTATTATTATCATTATCATCATCATCATCATGCTTCACTTTTACCAGTTGATAAGGAAAAGCTTATCATCATCATCATCATCATCATCATCATCATCATGCTTCACTTTTACCATTTGATAAGGAAAAGCTATGAAAATCAGCTAGGAGGATTAAGAGTATCACAGCATTCCAGTCCCTCACAAGATGATGAGAAAAAAGTCTTAAGAATAAAACATTTCTTATCCTTGCATTACAGCCCTTTGTGCCAAGCAATAATGATATATTACACTCTATCCTGTTTCAAATTTTGTATGTCTGGTTGCTTAAAATTTAATATCAATAAAGGAACATTTTAAAACAACAGATACATCTTCAATTATCTTTGCAAGGCAAATTTTGTTTTTAACAAACAGATCCCGGGGGGTGTTAGAATAAAAAAAAAACCAGAATTCATACTCTTCCTTCTTCTCTGAATTGTAAAGAAAGAACCTTAGAGTCATCTTCTTCTATGTTGTTTTTAACCACCTTAACATAGAAATGATAATTCTTTTATGCCAATAGTTTACTATTTTTAAAACTTGATAAATATAATAAAGTATATTATGGTAATTTGATTGCTATATTAAAAACTCACATAGAAGGAATTCTCATTTTCTGGCTACAAAGTTTACCTAAAACAGTTTTTACAAACTAAAAAAAAAGCATTATTTCTTGAATTCTTTTCTCTCCTTTAATAAATTATTAGAAGATTTTGTGCATTTTCTATTTACCACTTGAAAGAGATAAAATGTAATGTATGGGAAAAATAATTCTAAAGTGCCAAATGAAAAGAAAACGTTGAGAGGAGGTGAATTTTAACTTCTAAACAAACTATTTTAAGGCCAACGTTATCATACTTACTAAAGATAATTTACTTATTTTGATCAGTCTACAATTCAATTAGAATTACTCTGAATTGAGAGGGAGAAGATAGAATGGTATTAGGACAGAGTCAGTTATACTAGCTAACAATTTAATAATTTCCTATTACATAAATCAACTCACATTCTAGGATGTTAACAAAATAAGCTTCCTGTTCTCAACACTCTGAAAGGGGTAAAGAACGAGAGGGAACTACAAGTAAGAGCTAAAAGAGAAGGGAATTACCATTTCTGGGTTTCAAGTCACAAAAGATTCATGATAGTAAGAAATACCACGAAGTTATAATTCCGGTGTCCATGGCACTTTTTAAAAACCATTTTATTTATTTATTTTTAGAGAGAGGGGAAGGGAGGGAGAAAGACAGTGAGAGAAACATTGATTGGTTGCCTGGGGACCTGGTTCACAACCCAGTTATGTGCCCTGACTGGAAATTGAATCTACAACCTTCTGGTTCAGAGGCCAGTGCTCAATCCACTGAGCCACACCAGCCAGGGCTCTGTGGCACTTTTAAAGAAACAGTCAGTAAAAGACTTGTGACTAAGAACTGCAATGAGTGCCTTACAATGCTACTGGTGGTGCCAAGAGTGCACAGGTACCAATAGCATCATAAGGCACTAATGGCCCTCACAAGACCAAATGAGTAGGAGGTTGGAATATCGGAAATGCAGAACATAGTGGGTCCCTGTTTTTCTGGGATTGAGCACGAGAAAAATGAGAATAAAACTAACTATTGCTGACACCCGTTATCATGATCAAAACGCAAGCTATTCCTGACACCTGTTATCATGATCAAAACTCAAAGAAGAGAAAGGAATGCCCAAGGCATGCTATAACCCATAACACCTCTCTCTCAAACTGTTCAAGTCACACTTATAAAAAACGGATTTCAACCTCTAAGGTGTTGCCTCTATAGCTTCATGATTGTTACACCTGACCTATAAACTGTATCTTGTAAAAGATGCCAAATAGGTTTTCACCACTTTTGGTGGGTAAGTTTGCCATACTCCAAATTATATTAGCCTATTTACAATTGATTAGACATCTCAAAAACCACAAAGGCTTTTTTACTTGGAAACATCTACTATTATTCATATTTATATTTGTTTAATGGTCAATCTTTTAAACTTCTTTATCTAACATAGGAAAACTTGAAAACTATTGTTTAACATTTAAACATTAATTATAAACTTAAATTCCCATAATTTAAAATACAAGTTTGACACTTTTACCACTTCAAACATATTAACTATTAGACAAAACACACATGAATATGATGGTTATAAAACTTATTACTGCTCTTAACATAATTCTAAAATAACAATACATTGGTGTAATTTATTCTACATTATTTCCATACTTGTTCCTATGCCTCTTATGATTAAAGTCATATTTATTTTGGTACCTTGCCAGGGTTAGGAAATTGTACGAGATCCAAAAATGCTTTATTGATTTTAGAGATAGAGAGGGGGGAGAGAGAGAAAGAGAGAGACAACCATTGACGTGAGAGAAACACGGGATGACTAACGGATTTTTGTTGGGTCATGGTACCGTTCCCTCCAAGACAACTCAAACCTGAAGAGTCAATGATCTGACTGCACTTAATAATAAATAAATACCTTAAATTCCACAAAGGTTATTTTTTGTGAAATGTAATGTTCTGCCCAAGAATGCTATCTTTAAGTTTTATATGGCTAGTGTTACAAAAGCTTTTGTGCTATCATTATTATATACTGACACATTTAGCACTGTTGCAAGCTTATGCCTGCTCTTTTAATATCAAGCAAAGGAATACAAAGAGAGGACTTATAGCCATGGACAATGGGGTGAGGGACTGAGTGCTGGGAGTAGGGCGGGGATGGGGTAGGGGTGAGCAATGGGAAAAAAGGTAGGACAATTGTAACTGAACAATAAAATAAAAAAAGACAGTCAATATATTTTTAAAAATATCATGATCAGCAGGGCCATCCAAGGCTTTAATTTCCTTAGAGATGGGGGATGTAATCTGTGTAGGAAGGTCTCCTTAATTATGTATCAAGTTAATCTGCCATCTTGGGACATAAATAGACACAATTTTTTACATGCTTTTATGTATGACTGCTGATGCTGTGTAGTCTTTCCTTTTCCTGTTACAATTCTTACCCCAGGACTACCTGACTTATTGTACAATTCTATTTTCTTCCTTCTCACTAACACAGTAATAAACAAAAATGTCCTATGCTTTATAAACAGACACGTATTTAATAGAGAAAACACAGTGCACACATATTAACATGCCTCTTTTCTTAAAGTCATTACAATGTTCTAAATACTCTACTATAGTGGTTTTAATTTTTGCATTGAGACTACCTTTTGTACACTATTAACATTTTTTAGTATCATCATTAACTCATGGTTTTTTTCACACTTATTTACATGAACTTAAAATTATTGTTGGATCCCCCCCGCCAACTTAATTTGTGATAGCTTGGCCAGTTAGAGCACCAGTGATCTAGCTTTTTATTCCTTTTGTACTTTTAGACATTCTGGAAAGCATTCTGGCTTTCTAACAACAGTAGGATGTTTCAGACCCATTCTAGTATCTTCATGTTCCAAGAAATATCAGCTGTCCCGTAAGGATCCTGGTCTATTTAGCATTCCATACACTCACAGCACCTATATACCCTCCATACACTCACAGCACCTATATATCTAGTACACAGTAGGATCAATAAATATTTGTTAAAATATGAATAAATATTACAGACCAAAATCTAGGCACTAAGAGCATATGAAAGAATTGGCGATGCGTATAGATGGTACTGCTACTGTAGTAGCAACAAAGTAGCAGAAGGCAGAGCTTTTAAAATTTAACTTTCTCAATTTCAAGTTATCATGTTTTTGTTTCCTTTTATTACAATACCAGGTTTCATTGGCCTCCAAGAATATTTACTACACTGTCACACAACATACATGATATTCACTCTGGAGGAGTCACTAGGAGACACCTCAAAGACAAAGATAGCCAGCCATTCTCTAATATAGCTTAATCCTAGTTAAGTGGACTGCATGATTACCTGTCAAGAAAGGCACAACATATATAATATTAAGAATGCTATGAACACAGAACCAAACCTTGTTTTCAATTTCAGTCCTGAAATTACAAGTCGAAAGAGCAGACTTTTGGCGTAGTTGGTATTGACTGCACCTGAGCTGCTTCTCATGTGGGCAACTTTATGCAGCATGATCCAAAGTAAATAGCAACATTGATTTCACATATTAAAATGTATTGTAGCAATGTATAGTAGACTAGCCCAGTTGTAAACAAAAGTATATCTAATTAGGCCTTGTATTTTTAGACTAAAACAAATTTACTTTCAATAACTTTACCCATGAAAACATACCTTGGATGCTTTTGTGGTTCAGTGAAAGTTCAGACTGGGGAAATGACACAGTAAACATTGGACTTTTTCTAGTTCTGAAATAGAAACCAATAAATAAATAAATAAAATGTTAAAATGGAAAGAAAAAAACACTTCCTCATTCAAATACAATTTGAACTTTTTTCATTTAAAGGGATTTCAAAATAGGATAAGTTGTTTTTATTGCTACATCATTCCAAATACTTTCACAATTACTACCAATTTGTGAACATTATTTCAAGTGGTTGAAAAATGAAGGAGGGAGCTGAAAAATTAATGGATGAACTTCAGGGGTGTAAACAAGCTAAACTACATTTAGTTCTGAAAGTAACTTTGAAGATGACTATCTGCCAAATAGGTGTGGTGGGGTCAGGAACAAAATTGGTCCTGACATATAGTTGGGCTATCTAAATCCTCAAATACATTGAAAGTTTGTCATTATAGTTTGAGATGTAAGTGAAAGTAACTAATGACATCATTTATCATTTTTGTATTTCACAGCAGGCAAAGATAGGAAATATTGAAGGGGAGAGGGTAAAAGCAAAATGAGAGTCATGTCTAATCTGCAATATTGATCACCTGCCCTAAAATAATTAAAAGGTCATTGAAGAAAAGCAGTTAACTCTTTTTCTCAATCTAATTTACTACACAAATGCAATTAAGGTATCTTCCTTTAAAAAAAAGAAAAGCCTCTATTTTCAGTTGTTTTAAGAGCAGTTTTCATGCATCAGACATATCTACTTCAATCCCAAGCAAGAATAATAAATTGAGCATTCTCTTCTGTCTAAAAATAGATGTAATCAATATATGCTATCTTGGAAATACAACTGCTCATGTAAAATAATTTCTATGAGGCAAAGAAAACTGAATACTGTTTCCCCACCCCAAACTGTGATTTTTTTAGAAGCTGATTTACAACAAAATAAAATCATAGTTTGAGTCAATAACAGAATTCTTTTCCTTAATTAGAAAGAACTGAAGACATAAATCTAAAAACAGAGCAAACTTTCATCTAAATTATTAAAAATAATTATATTAGGCAAGACTGCAAACAATATACAAGTCTGACAATAGTGATTAAATTATAGTACAGTCAAGTTATACAGTGAAACATTATGAGGCCATTAAAATTCATGTTTATAAAAATATTGAGAAAATAATTATAACCATTACTTAAAATTTAAAAAGAGCATATAAAGCTATCTACAGAATGATAGCAATTTTGTAGAAAATATGAATAAAAGCAAAAATATATAGAAAGCCTAAAACAAAATGTAACAAAATGTTAACAATGGCTCTCTCTAGGCAGTGAGATTATGGATGTTTTGTTAGTCTTCTTAGCCTTTTTTCTATTCTGTAGATAAACTTATATTCAGTAAAAGAGTTTTTTTAAACAGCAATTCTCAAAACCTTTTATTTTGGACTTCTTTACATTCTTGAAAGTTTTTGTCTGTATGGCTGATATTTATATTTACATATTAGAAATTAAAATGGAAAAAATTTTAAATGATCATTAATTTAAAAGTAACTAATAATTTAGTAACACACTAATATATTTTATGAAAAATTATTGTATTTTCAAAATGTTTCACATTTTTACAAATCTCTTCATAGTTTAATAGAAGACAGCTACCATCTCATATGTGCTACTGCTTTCAACCTTTTGCCATATATTTTGTTTGACATATATAACAAAAATCTGATCTAACACAGACATGCAGTTGGAAAAGAAAGGAGTATTTTAGTAGCCTTTTTGGATAATTGTAGGTATTCTTTTTTGATATCCCATCAAAACTCTAAAAGCAGTAACTTCCTTAAAGGTTACTGAAAATGTAGAAACTGAAATAAAAAAATCAATGAACATTACAACCCTTTGGTCTACTTGTACTATGAACAGATATTTTACCTGTGCCTGACTTTGTGACATCAGGCATTGGGTTTTTTTTTTTTTTAATTAATTTATTTACTTTTTAAATACATTTGTCTCTGCCTTCCCCCCACCTCTTTCCCTTGCCCCCTCCCACCTCCCCTCTCTCAGCTCTTCCCCTTTGGTTTTGTCCATGAGTCCTTGCTATATGTTCCTTGACTTTCCCCTTCCCTTCCCTTTCCCTGCCCCCCGTTCCCTCTTGTCTCTGTTGATTTCTTTTCCTTTCAGTGTTGCTGGTCATATTTTCCTTGCTTCTTTGCATTGTTGGTTAGGTTCCGCTTATAGGTGAGATAAAAAATTATGGTACATATACACAATGGAATACTACGCAGCAGAAAGAAAAAAAGAAGTACTAAACTTTGCGACAGCATGGATGGAACTGGAGAGCATCATGCTAAGCGAAATAAGCCAGGGGGCGAAAGGCATTGGTCTTTTAGAAAATCCTGAGTTATACAAATCTTAGGTATATCTCATTATAAAATATCAAAAAGATCACCTTCATAAATAATATTACCACTGATCTCACCAGAAAATTTTAAGTATTTGAAAGCCATCAAGGTCAAAGTGGTAGACACAGGTTTTCCTAAACTCTAATTTTCTGTTGAAAGCTTGAATATTTTCATTGGCAACAAATACTATTAGCTATTTTCCTTGAAGTAACTGGCTTACTTTTTTCATTTTCAAGAATATGTCTGCCATATATCCAAGTGTGAATAACTAGTTTGTCTGTTAGTCATTTTTTCAAGTTACAAAAAAAAGTGAGGCTAGTTTTCATACAGTGCTTATAACTCAAACAAGTACTCTCCTTTAGACAACTATAACACTTCATTATGCATAGAGGTACTTTAAGCATGCTTCCCACTTCATCAGGTTTAATAAAACTAATAAATTTTCTACTTCAACAAGTACATTAAAGGAAACTTTTTTCCCTTTAACTGCAAAACATCGTGACTACTAGTGCTATTTGGTACCACTGCCCTGATTCCTACCTAAGGCTCAAGAATTTTACACATTTGCTCTTAACACTATAAGTGTAAACATCAATACCATGAAATAGGCAATCGTGTGTCGGTATTATCATGAAAATAATTTTGACCTTACATACCTTCTGGAAAGAGTACCAAAAGTTCCTAGGGGTCCACAGACCATACTTGGCAAATCTTTGCTTTAAAAGAACTGAAAGGATAAAGTCTCCTCAAGTGCAATAGTTGTATGAAGTCTATTTTCAATACACTCTACAAATTCTCATTTCATGTTATGCTTTAATTTTTTAAATAATATTAATAAACAGAATCAACTTAATCTGATTCAATCTCTCATGAAATAAAATGAGTGTGTGTAAAATAATATAAATTTATGCTGCTTTTAAAGGGGCAATTATATAAAAACATAATTCTAAAACTCTTAAGAAAATGAAGACTCATTTTAGATGTGCAAAATGACAAAATATCTGTAGTATTATAAAGCCAAAAATTAATATGCTTACTGTAACAGAGCTTGACTTTGTTCCACTTCATCTTGAGGTTGCTAGAAAAAAGAAACAGTAGTTTTTTTCTCCAACTGATGAATGCTAATCCAATGCAACACACTAAAAATTTAACATTTAAGGTAGTTCAAATGTTATTCTTTCTTAGCATCTTTTTAAAAATTGTGGTAAAATATACATAACATAAAATTTACCATTTTAACCATGAACAGTTCTATGGTATTGCATACATTTAAAATGATGTGCAACCACCACTACCATCCATCTCCAGAATTTGTTCATCTTCCTCAACAGAAACTCCATACCAATCACACACTAATTGTCCACTCACCCTTCTCCCAATGTTTGGCATCCACCCTTCTACTTCCTGTCTCTAAGTATCTCATATAAAAGAAATTATACTATATTTGTCTTCTTATGACTGGCTTATTTCACTTAGTAGGATGTCTTCAAGGAAGCATGTATCTGTGTTTACCTCCTTTTTAAGGCTGAAGAATACTCCATTGTATATACCACATTTTGTTTATCCACTCTCCTGCCAGTAGATGCTTTGGTTACTTCCACCTTTATGGCTACTGTAAATAATGCTTCTATAACGATGGGTAAATAAATATACTTTTGAGTCCCTGTTTCCATTTATTTTAGATATACAAAGGTCTGTCCATAAAGTATCGAGCTATGTATATGAGAAATAGAGACATTTACTGAAGAAGCTACAAGATACAAAAAACACTGTACACAGGACAATGACACCTCAGTCCCTTTCAAAGTAGGCTCCTTGGGACCTCACACAGTTCTCCCAATCGCCATCAGCTGCCCCATTGTATTTTCCTGAGTCTCACTGATGGCCTGAAATCTCTCCACTTTCAAAGGAGATTTTAGTTTTGGGAAATGCCAGAAGTTGCAGGGTGCCAAATCTGGGCTCTAGAGGAGCTGAGCCACCTGGATGATTTGATGTTTCACCAAAAATTCTGTAAGAGATGTGATACATCAGCAGGCATATTGTCATGATGAAGCTGCCAATCACTAGTGATCCACAGCTGCAGCCTTCTGAATCATCCCAATAGTTTCTGCAGAGGAATGTTCAAGCTTAATGCAAAATCTGATGCAGATTTGTTGCTGTACTTGCTCAGTCATTTTGAATGTGACGGCCACACAGTACACATACTCATTCAACAGCATCTATCGCCCTCACTGACTAGTACAGTGAAGTCATCATTGTTCGCACATGAGCTTCCTAGTCCACTCCACTTGGGTGCCAGGTTACATTGATGTCATGCAAACTGTTCTTGTTATATTAACAATGGTTGGATTTTTTTCTGGGCAGACTATATATATACAGAGAGAGAGCTCAGTTAAATACAGTGGTGTTTCCTTGCTTCCTAAGGCTTTAAGTGTTAAATAAATATTTTTTTAATTTTTAAAAATAATCTTTGAAGCTGGTTTTTATTTTACATTGATGTTGTGCAAACTGTTCTCATTATATTAATGATAATTGGACTTTTTCCTGACAGACCTCATAAACCCAGAAGTGGAATTTCTGGATCGTATGGTAATTCTATGTATAATATTTTGAGGAATCACCATACATTTTCTACAGAGGCTGGACCCATTATACATTTCCCACCAGCAATGAGCAAGAATTCTGATCATTCTGCATTTGGTCCAGCTAGTAAGAGGGAATGTTAACTGCATACTGGGGCTTAATAAGACTGATACACACACACATATATAAGCTATATATATAATAAAATAGCTACTATATATTCACATAAATCTCTCCACAAGCTCTGGACTTGCCAACCACAATCCTTCTTCCATTACATAGCCATCAAATAAGCCTGTGGTTGTTCATTTCCTTCAGGGTTCATTTTAACTGATTTCACCTTTACATATGGATAAGGGTAAAAGGTAAAAGAAGAAAAGTGACATTCAACCTGGATTCACACCTCTCAGATAAAAAGTCCCACATTTCAGAGAGTAGAAGTTGAAAGATGCAGCATGCTGGAAATATCCATAAGATTGAATTAATCATTACTCCCTATTAAACAAGTATTTTCCAGATGATCAGAAACTGGTAATATGACCAGTGATGCCTCTGCATTAATCACAGTTCTTCAGAGAAACAAAAACATAGAATATGTACATACATATTGAAAAAGATTTATTATAAGGAATTGGTTTTATGAACTGGCTAGTCCAAATCTACAGTGTGGGCCAAGAGGCTCAAGACCCAGGGAAGCTGATGACACAGATGAAGTTCCAAGTCTACTGGAGAATACTCTCTTGCACGTGGAGGCTTGTCTTTTTGTTCTATTAAGGCCTTCAACTGGTTGGATGAGGCCCACGTGCACTATGGAGGGCAATCTGCTCTACTCGAATACACGATTTAAATGTTAATCTCATGCAAAAACATCCTCATAGAAACTGCCAGAATAATGTCTAATCAACTACCAGGGCGCCCCATGGTCCATCCAAGCTGACTCATAAAAATTAACCACCACACCTCCTAATTTTGATAGACACCAGTGTCTTAAATTATTTTCCATATTACTAAACTCTCCAAAAAAAAAATTTTTCATGTAAAGTTTAAAAGGTGCTTGCCAAAAAATAGTATGTCAGCTAGAAATATAATAAACAAGTATCATACAGGGTGGGGCAAAAGTAGGTTTACAGTTGTTCATATGGAAAATAATACAATAATTAATAGATAATAATACAAGAATAAACTGTTTCACATACTCTCAACTGTAAACCTACTTTACCCTACCTTGTATATAGCAATGAAAATAATATTATTTATTTATTTATTTATTTATTTATTTGTATATTTAAAGGTGAGATCATACAGTATTTGTCTTTCACCACCTGGCTTATTTCACTTAGCATAATGCTTTCCAGTTACATCCATGCTGTCATGAAAAGTAGGCAGCTACAAGCAAAAAAATGAAACTTGACCACCAACTTACACCATACACCAGAATAAACTCAAAATAGATAAAAGACTTAAACTGTGACACCATAAAAGTCCTAAGGAGAACATAGGCAGGAAAATTTCAGACATTCCATGCAGCAATATTTTCACCAATGTGTCCCCACGAGCAAGGGACATAAAGGAAAGAATAAACAAATTGGGACTCCATCAAAGTAAAAAGCTTCTGCCTGGCTAAAGAAAACATCAGCAAAATGAAAAGGGAACCAACCGTATAGGGAAATATATTTGCCAATGATACCTGGGACAAGGGTTTGATCTTCAAAATATAAAAAGAACTTACATGACTCCACACCAGCAAGACTAACAATCCAATTACAAATAGGCAAAGGACCTGAACAGACACTTCTCGAAGGAGGACATACAGAGGGCCCAGAGACATATGGAAGGATATTCAGCATTACTTGCCATCAGGGAGATGCAAATTAAAACTACAATGAGATACCACTTCACACCGGATAGTCTACACATTTTTAAAAAGCTATCCAAATGAATCTGATAATAAGCATTCAAAATCACTGTTCTGAATTACAATACTCACATAGCAAATGCTTCTGAAATAAACTAAAAGAAATATTTCCCATTTCACAGTTGCTGAAACTAAAGGAAAATATGTTCTTTTTTTCTTAACTCAGATATTGCAGAACTGATTTTTAAGCAAATTATTAGAAACTAAATATAGAAATTTCAGCTTCAAGAAAAAAAAACTTGATGTTAAAATTTACTTTTAATCAGAGATCATTCAAGTGATACACCTTCCTAGGTACAATATTAAATAGATCCTTAGGGTCAACTCTTTGGAACTATTGTCAATTTCTGCTATTAAAATGTATGTTCTTTCCCATTCCTTAAGACTTTGTAGGTGTCTAGTTAGCTAACTTCCAAGGTACTAACTAAATTACTCCTTACCTTTCCCCTAAGTGATTACATTACAATGAAACAAAAATCTGTGTATATAAGCATGTGTACACACACATGCACACACACACACACACACAGGACAACAGCAAAGCCCTTCAGTGGTCCATACCTCAAATCACATCACACTGACTAGTATCTTCTTTAGAAATTTAAGATGACCTCTGACATACCATGGAGATGAAAACTGTAATTTTTAACCTAATTTAACCTATTTTAACATTCTGTTCCTCTCACTTCCACATCTATACTAGAGAGAAAAATAAAGAGGGAAAAGGAAATATTTTAACACCTCCTCCTAAAACAACTATCTTTCAACAAATTTGCAGCAAAGAAGTAGAATGACTAGCTAAGAAAAAAGATAAAACTAAATATGATAAGAAGGAGCAAAATAATAGATGAGAAAAACAAATCATTAGTAATTTGCCACTCTTCAAAGTAGCATTTCCGATTTTTAATAAGTATGTATTTAATCAATATGCTTAAATATCTGTAAGACTGCATCCTCACTAAGAACAGGCATCGTCTTCTTTTTACTTACTTGCTCTTGGGGATCCTCTCTGAGCTTGAACTTAAGTTGAATCTCAGGAGAACGTGTGCCTAGAATGAGATATAATCATAAATCATTAGTAACAGTTTTATTGCTCTGCTTTGACAATGACCCAAGGATTAAGAGATAGTAAAAATGTCATTAAAGATCATTTTGTAAATTATAATTTCCTAACTGCCACTTTTATGTGTTATGGCTTTTAACTTACTAATTAGGAAGAAACATATGCATTACATTGAATAAAATAATATTTCTTTTTTCAGGATGAATGATGAAAAGGATATATATTATATATATTTATATAGACTTAAATCATGCTAGAAAGAATACTTTCTTTTTAAAATATTTCATTTTAGGTTATTTTAAAAACCCTTCAGGTAGTATCAAGAAAAGTCAGTTTCTGTTACAAGATGACAAATTTATTTTAACTTTCTTCCCTTCCCAGTTCCTAAAAAGAATCCAAAGAAATGATTGGTTTTTAAAATCTGAAGCAGCAATGGTAAAAAAGGAGATAGACCCTCTATAGATTAGAAGATTAAAATGGATTAAAGGAAAATTAAAAATTAGTAAACAGCTGTCACTCAACGTAGGAAAAGGAGTGGCCCCTTCAGAAGTAATTATGTGGATTTCTTCCATCAAAATCGTTGAAAACCACCCAGCTCAGTGCAAATCTCACCAACAAAAGATAGAAGAGGGTAAATTAGACGTTCACAGTGGGTAGTCTCATACTTCACTAAGCTTACTGTTTGTACCAAAGAAGTTTAGAACGAATGTTGTAGCCAGCTACTGTGTATAGGAGGATATCTTCCTGGGCAGATACAGAAATGTACCAACGGCTGAAGTTGGTAAAATAACATAAACTTGGCACAAAAGTAGAAACAGTCTAAAAGATCAATGAAACAAAAAAGAAAGAAACAGACATATATATGTAGGAATTTAATATGTAACACTAGTGGTATTTTAAACAGTAGCACCGGGATGAGTTATTCAATAAATAATATTGGGAAAGTTTAACCATTTGAAAAAAATGAATTTAGAGACCTACCTTCCCATATGCCAAAATACTCTAAAGAGATATTTGTAAAAGTTATAAATATAATAAATGGAAATAAAGATTAAAAAAAGTATCTTTATGGTCTTAAGATAGGTAAACTATTTCTAAATTTGAAAAAACTAATGAGCCCTAAGGGACCAACAGATTTCACAATATATTGATAAAAACTTAAAACTTCTGCAATACAAAATACATCATGAATAACATTAAAACATAACTAGGAAACTGGATAAAACTATTTGCAACATATATGACAAACTTTTGTTATCTTTAATATGTGAAATACTCTTAAAAGTCAATAATAAAATGAGAATAATTAGGAGGCATATAAGGCAATTCACACTAAAAAAAAACCTATGAAGAGTCAATATTAAAATATGCCTAAATATTCTCAAAAATGCAAGTTAAAATAATCAGATGCTTTTTATTTACCAGTTTCACAAAGACTGAATATGTCCTGTGTTGGATCTAGAGGGGAAAAGTCATCTTTTTTAGGGGGCAATATATGAGGTCTGTCTGGAAAAAGCCCAGCCATTGTTAATATGAGAATGGTTTGCGCAACATCGATGTAACCTGGCAGCCAAGGAGAGTGGACTGGAACATGCATTCGTGAACAATGATGACTTCACTGTATTAGTTCAGTGGAAAAGGTGCTTGCCATTGAGTGAGCATGTGTACTGTGTGGCCATCCCATTCAAAATGACTGAGCGAGTACAGTAACAAATCTGCATCAAATTTTGCATTAAACTTGAACATTCCTCTGCGGAAACTATTTGTGTGATTCAGAAGGCTGCAGTTAAGGGCAACTGGTGACTGGCAGCTTCATCATGACAACATGTCTGCTCATGCATCATGTTTCATGAAGAATTTTTTGGTGAAACATCAAATCATCCAGGTGGCTCAGCCCCTCGACAGCCCAGATTTGGCGATCTTCAACTTCTGGCATTTCCCAAAACTAAAATCACCTTTGAATGTGAAGAGATGTCAGACCATCAGTGAGATCTGGGAAAATATGATAGGGTGGCTGATGGCAATTGGGAGAACTATGTGAGGTCCCAAGGTGCCTACTATGAAGGAGACTGAGGTGTCATTGTCCTACATACAATGTCTCTTTTATCTTGTTTCTTCTTCAATAAATGTCTCTATTTTTCATATTACAGGGCTGGATACCTTCTGGACAGACTTTGTATGTCAAGATCTGACATATGTCAGATCCTTTAAAATAAGAATAAAGAATCAGATTCTTTAAAAGCAAATCTACTGTTAACTAGTTATTTATTCTAAAGAAATAACCAAAAAAGTGGGCAACGGTATAAGTATTAGAATATTCATATTTGTTATAGTATTGAGAAACATCAAAAATATAATCAATTCATTTAGTAAAGGTACACTCATACAAAATAATATTTAGCAATTTAAAAGGCTGAGGTAAACCAATATAACAAGGAAAGAAATATACTATGTAGTATAATGACAATTATGAAAAGAAATGTTTATATTGGCATGACATTCTAGAAGGATATAGAAATACTAAACACCAGCACTGTTGGGAGTGGGATGATAGGGAAGAACATTAGAAAGCATCTTTCACTTTCCACATAATATAATTCTGTATTTTAAAAAAATTATACTTTTTTAATAATTAGCAAAAATAATAAAGATCTATCCATTTGGAAAAGAAAAAACTTAGCTGGACTATTAAAACAGACCTCTAGCTTTTTCCTATTGGCATTGTACACATCAAAGAATACATTCTGAAGACCAATATTACACCTTGTCCTTTCCAGTTACAAATAAGAAAAACCACCCCGAGACAAAACTGTAACTTGCCATTTTCACTAGCCATTGAGGTAATGTGCAGTTAAAAAACTGTAAACTGTAACAAAAAGATCTTCATAGTGTTTAAGAAATTTTTCTTCTATTCTACTCCTATTTCCAGACATCCTCTAAAATGAAAAATGCTCACAGGAAGAAATAATAAAAGGAAATAACCTACCATTTAAACAGCTATTTCAGAATCGATCTTTTTAACAGTAACAATTAGTGATAGACTTTTCTAGAAGCATTTTAAATTGATCTAGAAGTGGTAAAAGGCACTTTATAAAAAGAGATATATAACTAAACTTATTATGTGACTAGGTTAACTAGACTAATAAAATAAGACTTTGTTAACTACACTTATTGTGATGATCATTTCACAACATAAATATTGAATCATATTTTTGTACACCTGAAAATACACCTGACATATCTGTCAAATTATACTTCAATAAAAATAGAATAAAATAAAAATATATACTAAGGATATTTGTAACAATTTTATTTGAAACAAACTGGTTATTAAAAAGTACCATTTACTTTTGCAAATAGGCAGCTTCTAGGGTTAAACTGGGAATTTGGGGTTGGGGGTTGGTGGGAAGAGCTATCTGATTACCACTTCCATATCTCTGTTGTCATCTCTAGGAGTTGTAAACATCTTCTAGAAGTTAAGGTGCCTCCTGTTGTCCTCATAGTAATAGACCTTAATAGACCTTAGGGTCTATTAAAGATGCGTAAAAGAAACTAACTCTTATAAAGTTAAAAAGTGAGACTAAATATAAAAGGAGATAGTAATGGAATAATAACACCTGGGAAGTCGTAAGGACTATTGCTGAAAAGAATTATTTCTCACCTTTGCATGTTCCACTTACATCAGGATGGAGACTGAACTCAGATCTAAGAGATGTGTCTTGATCAAAGAGCAACCTTTCAAATACCAAAATCAAGGTAGATTGTTATCATGTTTCCTTAACAAAGACTAACAATTTAACAGTCAGGATTTTTTTTTTTACAGTTTACTGTCAATTTTGTTTTGCAGAGGTTTCAGGTATACAGCTTAGTAGTTAGACAATCATATACTTTACAAAGTGTTCCCCTCGATATTTCCAGTGTCCACCTGGCACCACACAGTTATTGCAATATAATTGACTATATTCCCTATGCTTTACTTTACATCCCCGTGACTGTTTTGTAACTACCAATCTGTACTTCTTAATCCTTTCACCTTTTTCACCTAGTCCTCTAAACTCCCTCCCCCTGGCAACCATCTGTGTCTATAGGTCTGTTTCGATTTTGTTTGTTCATTTATTTTGTTCTTTAGATTCCACATATAATTGAAATCGTATGATATTTGTCCTTCTTTGACTGACATTTCACTGAGCATAATACCCTCTAGGTCCATTCAGGCTGTCATACAAATAAACAATACGATTAAAAAATTGGCAGAGAATCTGAGCAGACGCTTCTCCAAAGAGGACACACAGATGACCAATAGACATATAAAAAGATGCTCAACATCACTAATTGTCAAAGAAATGAAAACTAACACTACAATGAGATATCACTTCACACCTGTCAGAATGACTATCATCAATAAATCCACAAATGGTAAGTGTTGGTGAGGATGTGGAGAAAAGGGAACTTTCATGCACTGCTGGTGGGAATGCAGACTGGTACAGCCACGATGGAAAACATTATGGAATTTCTTCAAAAAATTAAAAATTGAACTACTTTATGACCCAGCAATTTCACTTCTGGGGATTTATCTGATGAAACTGAAACATTAATTTGAAAGAATGTATGCACTCCTGTGTTCATTGCAGTGTTATTTACGGTAGCCAAGATTTGGAAACAGCCCAAATGCCCATCAATACATGATGATAAAAAAGTGGTAGTAGATACATACGTACATACAGTGGAATACTATTTGACCACAAGAAATGAAACCTTAACAGCCATTTCTATTATATCTAAACTTGCTAAAATTCTTAGTTATAGCACTGCTAATACGTTGGGATGTTACTTCTGATATTAGGTTACAAAAAGACATTGGCTTCCATCTTGCCTCCCCCTCTTTCTCTCTTGTTTTTTCCCTCTCATGGAAGTTGGCTCTCCATGTTGTGAAATGCCTTGTGGAGAAGCCTGTGTGGCAAGAAGGTAAGGGACGCCTCCAATCAACAGAGATGAACTAAGGGCAGAAGGAACTGATTCTTAAAACCATCATGTAGAAAGTGGATCCTTCTCATGAAGCCTTGAGATTAATGCAGCTTTGGGAGTTCCTGAGCATGATGACTTACGCAACTCCTGGATTCCTGACCTTTACAAACCACAAGAGGATGAATGTTTTTTATTTCAAGATGTTAGGTTTTGAGGTTGTTACACAGCAATGAAAAACTAATAAACAGACTGTAGTCACATTTCCCCAACTGTCTCTATTTACAGTTGTTTTGTTCAAATCAGGATCCAAACAAGGTGCACACACTGAATTTAGTTTCTATGTCTCTTAAGCCTCTTCTTTTTACTTCCAACATCCCCCACCCCTTTGCAATTTATTTGTTGAAGAAACTGGGCTGTTTTTCCTGTAGGGTTTCCTACACTTTGGATTTACTGATTCAAGGTCAGTTAACATGTTCCTCTGTCCTGAATAGTTCCTGTAAAATGGTTATTCCTCTAATTCAAGTAGTCTGGAGAAGCATATGTGTACTTCCTACAGATTTTTTTTTTACAGTGTGTATTGGGAAAGACAGTCTTGTGCATGCTGTATTTCAACCACCTTGGCCCAGAAACACTTTTTTAAAAAGAGAGAGAGTCCTCCCCCAGGCTGTGCTGGACCTATTACCTTGTGTGGGAATATCTTTCTTTGTTTCAGACAGAATGTGTACTCCTTTGTTCTATTTAAGTGTCATATGGCACCTGGCCAACCCCAATACTATGTCTGTCTTTTGTAGGGAGAGGATGAAGTTCTTCATTATGGGGCACAAGGGACTGTGCAAACCAATGGCTCTGCATCATCAGCTGCTAGCATGAGGGACCAATGCCTAATGTTGAAGCTATTCTTGCCTATAGAAGTGTTATTCCAGCCAGTGCTTTATTGTACTGTATTTGCATTGGTGACTCTGATACCAAGATGCAGTGGACAGAAGTGTTTGGATTTCTTCTCCTGGTGATAGGCAACAGGCTACTTGCTCAACAATATGACTGTAACTCATTTTGTCATGCCAGTAACCACTGATGACCACTGCCTAGTACATTCATTATTAGGCATGTATAAAATAATAGTATTCTACTTTACCACCTTCTTCACTTATTAATGGAAATACATACATATTTTTTAAAAAAACAACTTTCCCTCATCAACTATATAATTACTTTCCATTAAGCCTGTGCTAACTCAGCCAGGTTACCTAGGTACAGTTTGGAAAGGAAAGGCAAGATAAACACCTGCTTCTTTCACTTTCCTTATCTGTTTTCAGAATATTGAAATAAGGTTTGAATCCACTGCTGTTATTGTTCTTATTAATGTTCAAACTGTCCCATTTTTAGCTAGTGGAGCCTCATTAAAATGGCTCATGGGTTGTTTAACATGAAACCACTTATTATGGACTGAATTGTGTCCCTTGTCCCATATTCATGTTGCAGCCTTAACCCCCAATGTGACTACATGTGGGAAAACAGGGCCTTAAATGGGGCAATTAAGGTAAAATGAGATTATAAGGGTGGAAGCCTAATTTAATATAACTGGTAGCTAATAATCTATAGGTTGGCCATAAAGTCCATTTAGTTTTTTCCGTAAAATAAAAGACACATCTTTCATTTTCATCAATAACTTTATTGATTTGGATATTTTGAGAATGTTGGCTACCTCCCACATGTTAGAATGTTGATTGTTCTCAATTAATGTCTTGATTTGATTGCTATCAATTTCAATTGGTCTACTGGGAGCATCTAGTAAGAAATCTCCAGCACAAACCTTCGCAAACCACTTTTGAAACCTTTGATCAGTCATGGCACCTCCTTCATACACTGCACAAACATTTTTGCATTTCAGTTGCATTTTTACTTTTCTTGAAATAATAAAGCATAACACACCAAAAATGTTGCTTGTTTTTCTCCATCTTCAATATTAAAATGGCTACACAAAAATTTACCAATTCTGATAAGGTTTTTTTAATGCATGCTGATGATGACAGCTGTCACACAACAATCTAATAAAATTGTTTCAAATGAAGTTAAAGACAACTAAGCACTACTAGAGCCATCTAACAGGAAAAAAAAACAAAGGAAATTTTTGGCCAACCCAATAGTAAGGAGAGAGAGACACCAGGTTATGCATACACACAGAGGAAAAACCGTAAGACACAGGGAGAAAACAGCCGTTTGCAAGCCGAGGAGAAAGCAACACTACAAGCACCTTGATCTTTGACTTTCAAACTCTAGAACTGTGAGAAAATAAATTTCTGTTGGTTAAACCACCCACTCTGAGGTATTTTTGTGGCAGCCTGAGCAAACACACACTAGTCATCCCTAGCCTCCCAGGATAAGATATCTGGCCTTATCTTATGTATCTCCTCCTTTAGACCTGAAATTAATTGTTTTTTCATGGAGCCATGGTTCCTTTAAATGGGATACCATATTTAGAGTCCACAATAGTAATATTATCATTAACAATCTGATTACTGAAAAAAGTTATTTTGCGATTCTTTTGTCCTTGGAGTCTATCTCATTTTGCATGTATAGCTAAATTCTATGTTTTAAAGGCACTTAATTCCTTTAGTGTAATTCTGCTACCAAATCTATACATAATTAGGTTTACTTGTTTCATCTTGCTTTTGCTTTTTAGGAATTTATGTTAATTTCATTTTGTTTTATAATTATGCAAACCATTTACATCACTCCAAAGACAAATGTATTAAAGACAACCTATTTAGAGAAGTCTAGCAGCATCTATTCTTGTCCCCTCACCCACCTGTTCTCTCCCTCCCCACTTTTTAATTATATGGTTTATCCTTCCAATGTGTTTTTGGAAGTATAAGCAATAGGTCCCCTCATTCCTTCTTAGGTAAGCAGTCACATTCTTTACACACTTCTCTGCTTTCTTAACAATGTATCAAGTAGATTGATCACTCTAGAGAACAGAGACACTCCTCATTCCTTTTTATTAATTCATAGTACACCACTATGTGGATTCTTTAAACAGTTATAAAATCTTCAAATTTTTTAAAGATTTTTTTAAAGGGTTTTTTTTTTAATTTAAAAATAACACAAAAGGGGCATGGAGGAATTTTAGAAGGTAGTGGGGCTGTTTTATATATTATTGTGGTAACAGTTATTACACTACTGTATGTCTGTCAAACCTTACAGAACCATACAGTAAAAAGAGTAAATTTTGCTGCATGTAAGTTATACCTTAGTTCTAAAAATGAAAAAAAACAAAGATATTAATTTTCCATAAGTAAATTTATAAATTTAATATTATACCAATAAAAGTACTAACAAGGCTTTTTGTTAAACTAGACAACTGCTTGTAAAGTTCATGTGGTAAAATAAATAAGAATAGCCAGGAAATTTTTAAAAGTAAGAATAAGAACATAATGAGCTACAAGATATTAAAATATTTTTGGATATATTTTTTAAATGTGAAACAGGCACATGAAATGACAGACCAATAAACAGAATAAAATCTCTCAAATAAATTCATATATGGGAATATATTAAAAAGGACGCATCTCAAATCAGTGCAAAAAATATAGGTTTTTTAAAAAAATTATTTTGGGACATTGAAGGAGACATGGAAAATAACTGGATCCATATTTCACACTGTACTCAGAAAAAAATTCCACATAAATTAAAGATGTAAATATTTAAAAGTGAAACAGAAAGTACTAAAAAAAACAAGGAGGGATTCTTTTATAATTGTGGAGGAAAGA